CCCTACCTGTAATATGCAAGTCTGCCATTGCAATGCGGAGAGGCTTTCTGGTGGCATGAAGCTTTTTCTAAAGAGCGTATGGCACTTTATATATAAATTTTTGTCTGACTCTGGACAGTGGGGCTTTCTGCTAAGGTCAAATCTTTGAGATCCTGAGCTGTTGAGAGTTTGGAGACCTCCTTGTTTTGTCTTAGACTCTTGTTGTGGGCTTACTTTAATCATTCCTCATTGTTCCATGTGTTGCATACGTAGCTGCAGCCTTTGAAGCACTGTGTGGCCAGCTCCTGCTCAGTCCTGTATTTGACAGAGCCCATAGACAGGGTGGAGTAATCTTACAAATCTTTTCTCCAGTGCTGTCTTCTGGATAGTTGTTTTCTGTCAGTCCTGGGCTTTTAGGACCAGTTGGAGCCTTTTAAGTTTTTCTTCAACCAGGTGGGGATCACAACAGGGGCAAGAATTTGTCTGTTGTGTTTCTATGAGATTCATACTTGGTGAATTATGTTTGGCCTCTGTGATCTGCACTGTGACCACAACCCAGGGAAAAAGCCCGGTAACAGTTGTGCTCATTCAGATCTATGAGGCTCCTTGTCCCAGCGTTTATAATCAAGTGAAGCATCATCAAATTAGATGGTAGTACATGAAAGCTCTGAGGGGAAGCTACTACACCCTGGAGTTCTTAATCTCTGAAAAGCTAAAAGAAGACATCTGGATTCTGCTCTAACCTATATTACTTAAGGCTGCAGCATCTCTTTTGTGGTTTCTTTTTGTTATGATTTTATTTATGAATAGATGAAATTTAAATAACAATGCAGTATTGGCTGAGAATTAGCAACACGAACTTCAGGCTTGTTTGTAGACAGAAGAATCAAAGCAATGTGTTCCATTAGTTTCCATATCCATAAAAATAGAGTTAAGAACCATTTTAATTCATTAAATAAGACAGCAAAAGAGATTAGAATGTATTTTAACTGATAAACATTATTTAAAATATACATGATACTCAGGAAAAGAACATTAAGTAATTTAAAAACGCTATTAAAAATCCTGATGGCCATAACATCTGTTTAATTTGTTACTGGTTAATTTTGTGTTGAAGCAGAATATGCTTTTCTCATAGCACATTTTGACTAGCACAACTCCGTATCAGAACAGGGACAAGTGCTCCTTTTGGGGGTTGGGCAGTTATATGCAAATTGCAATAGGAAATAAAATAAATAGAATTTTTTTGGTTACAATGTTTAATTAAATAACACTTTTCGTACAAGGAACTCAAAAGACTTTCACAGAAGTTAAATGAATTAAGCTTCACAGCTTTATTGTCAGAAAAAGCAGGATTCTGGTTTCTATTTTACTGCTGAAAAAATGGAGGTTGCAAAAAGTTAAACAACCCATCCAAAAGTAGGCTAGGATTTGTAATACCTGAGTGCCTGTCTTTTTTGATTATGTTTTAAGGATGTGGAAACTATAGTATGCCCCCTTTTGAAAGCACAAGTCCTAAACTTGTTTGTTTGCGAATTCAACTGCTAGATAGGAGGGATTTAGGCGATCCTTTTGTGGTATATCTCTACTGCATTTCAAATGCTAAACTGTGATGCTTCCCTTCAGAACTATGTGTCCTTTTCCATTTTCAGTCTAACCATTCTCATTGTGCTGAGAGGTAAACTACATTAGTAGGCAAGTTCTCAGTTGACTGGTATTTCAAAGGAAGGATTATAGTGGAAGCATTGAACTGGGGCTAGGATTAGAGTTGGGAGGGAGACAGAGCCTAGAGCCGTAGCTGGAGTGGGGCTAGGAGAGGGCTGCCAAGGGGTATACTGCAAAAGGAATTCTGTCCTCTTGTTCATTTGGGCTGTGGCTTGGGATCTTGGGCTAAGGCTCAGCTGATGTGTAGGACAGAGAGACAGAGCCTAGAGCTGCAGCTGGAGAGGGGCTATTAGCGTCTCAAGAATAAATGTTTTATCCATTTAGAATAGCATCTTTGGATATTAGTGCTTTGTATGTGCCCATTTATTTCAAAAGCAGAAAACCATTTTGAGTACACCTTAATTTACTCAGGATACCTAGATCAGGCATATTCCCTCAGCACACTGAATGTTGTTTATAGCAAACTTATGCTGAAGACTCTTATTGATATCTGATAAATTGTGATGGCCACCTACGATGGAGTTACAGCATTGGGGATAAGGGAAGAACACCTGACATCATCTGCCTGGGCTTGTGCAAAGCATTTGACACTGTTCTGCACAACATGCTTGTCTTTAAATTGGACAGACATGAATTTGATGGATGGACCACTCAGTGGATAAGGAATTGGCTGGTTGTTGCACTCAGAGTTGTGGTCGACGGCTCGATGTCCAAGTGGAGGCCAGTGATATGTGGTGTTCCTCAGGGGTTGGTATTGGGACCAGAGCTGTTTAACATCTTCGTTGGCAACGTGAACAGTGCGATTGAGTGCACCCTCACTAATTGTGCTGATGACATCAAGCTGTGTGGTGTGGTGGACACACTGGAGGGGAAGGATGCCATCCAGAGGGACCTTGACAGGCTGGAGAGGTGGGCCTGTGTGAACCTCATGAAGTTCAGCAAGGTCAAGTGCAAGGTCCTGCACCTGGGTTGGGGCAATCATCAGCATAAATGCAGGCTGGGTGGAGAATGGATTGAGAGCAGCCCTGAGGAGAAGGACTTGGAGGTGTTGGTTGATGAGAAGCTCAACATGAGCCGGCGATGTGCGCTTGCAGCCCAGAAAGTTAACCGTATCCTGGGCTGCATCCAAAGCAGCATGGCCAGCAGGTCGAGGGAGGCGATTCTGCTCCTCTGCGCTGCTCTGGTGAGATGCCACCTGGAATACTGCATTCAGCTCTGGAGTCCCCAACGCAAGAAGGACATGGAGCTGCTGGAGTGAGTCCAGAGGAGGGCCACGAAGATGATCCGAGGGCTGGAGCACTTCTCCTATGAAGGCAGGTTGAGAGAGTTGGAGTTGTTCAGCCTGGAGAAGAGAAGAGAAAGCTCTGGGGAGACCTTCTATCAGCCTTCCATTACCTAAAGGGGGCCTACAAGAAGGCTGGAGAGGGGATTTTTGCAAGGGCACGTAGTTATAGGACAAGGAGTAATGGCTTTAAACTGAAAGAGGGTAGATTTCGATTAGATATAAGGAAGAACTTCTTCACTGTGAGGGTGGTGAGGCAGTGGAACAGGTTGCCCAGAGAAGTTGTGGATGCCCCATCCCTGGAGGTGTTCAAGGCCAGGTTGGATGAGGCTTTGAGCAACCTGATGTAGTGGAAGGTGTCCCTGCCCATGGCAGGGATGTTGGAACTAGATGATCTTTAAGATCCCTTCCAACCCTAACCATTCTATGGTTCTATGATGTAAATGGCTGTTTATGCTAGTCAGAATCCTCCTGGAACTATTCAAAGATTTCTTCATTATCTGTTGTTGCCAAAATGTCCATTAATGGAGAAATCATTAGGGTAGGTAATTGTTTCTTTTCTGGGAAGAATTTATGCAAATCAAAATTGGTTATCGAAAACCAAGTATGCTTACAGGAAAATCATGTGGAATTAATGGTGAAGAAATGAGTAGGTTTGTATAGGCATTGATCCAAGTGCCTTTATTCCCAAATGGAAAACTAGGCCCTTTCTTTGTCTTACTTTAGCATTGTATTGGTAATTGAATAAAGATGCTTATTTAAGAAGTTTTTTTTACCGAAAATGTGACTTCTATTAAATATACAGAAGATGTGTCCTTTCAAGTATATAATAATTAATTATTTTTATTGACTGTGTGCCCATTGTTGTCACTCAAGGCATGGTAGAGACATGCTGAATCAGATCTAATTTTGGATATAAGAATCTCAGACATCTGGACTGGTCTGTACTATTTGCTGACAGTTATTGTAGAGGGCTGAAGAGAAGCAACATATTAACTACTTGGAAAAATCTAGGTTTTCAGCCTGTCAGCAACCCATTTTAACTAATAAAATAGAGTTTTTAAGCTCCAATGCTGCTTTGTTAAAGAAGTACTATTGCAAAGTAGGTTTTCAAAGTATGAGGAGGGGACAGGACTGAGAAAGTTCCTCTGGGGTAACATGCAGCAAGAACCACTTCTAGGAAAGCTAGAATCTCTAAATCATTTTGTCAGAAAACAAAACATCAATTAGCCTTTGAAGTCTGCAAATAGTTCCTGCTGTGCATTATGTACCATAATGTTTCTATACTGACTTCTTTAGTATTTACAAACTGTGTAGATTCTGTTCCCTTTTCTTCTGTCCTATGCAAAGTGAATGCACCCCAAAAACAGAATGCTAATAAGAAGTGAGAATAACAATGTT